TGTGTGTGTGTGTGTGTGTGTGTGTGAGAGAGAGAGAGAGAGAGAGAGAGAGAGAGAGAGAGAGAGAGAGAGAGAGAGAGAGAGAGAGAGAATCCGGCTGTTCCCGTCTTATTTGTTTTAGCGAGCGAAGCTGCAACAGGTCATCTAGTTTGCGTGAAAATGGCAGTAGTTGCTATGAGAAAAAGCATAGATGCACAGAAATCAGCAACATGGATATGACTCAGACAAGGACTTGGACAGACAGACTGGTCAACTGCCAGGCAAGTAGTGGGGTGGAAAACTACATTTGGGGTAAGATAGGTTTGCTGGTGTCAACTGCAACCCGTTGTGACGGCTTGAGAATGGAATAGGGAGGGATGTCCATAACTGGCTTCTGCAGGGCAGTTAATCCCCTCGTAAATGAGGGCAATCAATGCTGCCCTGCGCTTATCATCCTATCAACACATTACGCATTGTAATTTGTCACAGGGACGCTGGACCCGATTTCCAGCACGTGCAGCTCCCCGCGGTAGTTGGCCGGCAACAAATGTTTTTCTTCTTCTTTCTTTTTTTGTTTTAAATCCGAAGTACACACTTGAAAATGCCAAGTACACACTACGTAATACAGGCTGACCCAAATGCAACACATACTTGTATGGATGGGGTACCTGGGCTGGTGGGGCTAGTCAATGAGGGCTTGCACAGACATACTGGTCACCTACTAGCCAATTAGTTGGGGGGGGGAAAGGGTACAACTTCATTGATATTCTCTTTTCACTCAACGTTTGTACCATCCCCACTACCTGTCCCCGGCTGCATGACTCGCCGAACTAGTTACCTATTTTTGTTCCAAATTTTTCTAAATGCCTATTTTTTGTTTCAAATGTTTCTAACAACTGATACAACCTAAACTGTCTTACAATTGTACGTCCGGCTGTTGCAGGGTCAACCATACTAAGCTCGAATTTGCTCCTCTTCGCTCATGTAAGCCGTTGCAGTCCATTCGCGACCTGTACGGGTGCATTCCCTATCCGAGAATCGAACACACAACAAACGGCTGGTCAGGCAAACACCTAACCAATAAGTTAAGTGGGCTGGGATGCTCTGGTGGTCGAACTGTAATATTTGGAAAACACCCCCACATTAGGCCCTAGGGGTTTCAACAAATTGAACGAGGTGCAAACAGGCCGACACATCGAGAGCACCGCCTTCCTGTGTGCGGACACATTTGTCATGATCGACGATTGTTTGAGGAGAAAACACACAAATGTTCACCCGAGTTCGGAAATGGTGAGGGTTCGACAAGTTAGTGTTTGACCTAGAGGTCGGTTGCCTCCTGTGTGTAGGGATGTTTTCTCGTTCTCGCACCTCACCTTGCACCGATTTACAGCGTATCACCATGTGTCACCTCACCCTGCACCGATTTGCAGTGCGTCAACACTTTCCTCATGAGCATCAAAGAGCACATCAGACTGCGGTACCTATATCTACATCTACATCTACATCTACATCTACATCTACACCTACTATAATAACTGCTAAACGTCATATCGCACGGCCCGAATCGCAGGCCGATAACCACCGCGGACGGCGCGGATCGCAGGCCGATCAGAAAGTCTTCTGATCGGCCTGCGATGTGGGCCGTCCGTGGTGGTTACCGACCTGCAATTCGGGCCGTGCGATGTCAAATTTCAGATTCCGCCGGTCGCTACTGGAGGCACCGAATTGCAGGCCCGCCCGCCCGCCTGCCTGCCCGCCCGCCCGTCCGCCCGTAGTTGTGGCCCGCCCCGCCCACTCCTCCACGGTCGCCGGTTGGTACCGGAAGCGTCAAATCACCTGCCCATCTGCCGGTTTGTACCGGAAGCATCGAATCGCCCGCCCGTCTGCTTTGTTGCCCCGGGCACCCGCTTCGGTGTTGCCGGCCACCCCTCCAATCGCCCGTGCGCCCATTTTTTTGTTGCCGGCCCACCCTTCCAATCGCCCGCGCGCAATGTTGTTGCCGCCCACGACCACTTCAATTGCCCGCCCCTTTTGTCTGCCTATCAACGTGCGCGTGTGTGTGCTGCGTGGTCGGTGCACGCGTGCGTGCTGTGCATGGGTGCGCCGGTGCGCGTGTGCTCAGCGGGCTCTACGGGTGCCTCTCTCTCTCTCTCTCTCTCTCTCTCTCTCTCTCTCTCTCTCTCTCTTTCTCTCTCTCTCTCTCTCTCACTGTGCTCTCTCTCTGGTGGTCGGTGCTCATCGTGGATCCGTGCTTTCGATTTGGTGGTCGGTGCTCATCGTGGATCCGTGCTTCGATGTGGTGGTCGGTGCTCATCGTGGATCCTTGCTTTCGATTTGGTGGTCGGTGCTCATCGTGGATGCTCGGACTTTTCCTGCTCGACGGCCTCTCCTTGGTGCTCATCGTGCTCTCTCTCTCTCTCTCTCTCTCTCTCTCTCTCTCTCTCTCTCTCTCTCTCTCTCTCTCACACA